CAACCGGCATATTGATGTCGAGGAACAGGAGATCAATTTTACTATTATGCAGGGCGCCAAATGCTTCCATGGCATTATTGCTCTTCTGAGCAAGATGCAGCACAGGCATTCTGGCAATGTGGTTTTCAAGTACTTCCTGGGCCAGTGGCTCATCGTCTACGATGAGGCAATTGAGTTGTTTTGAATCGGTATGCATATACGGATACTGTTTGCATCACCGTCTGTCTCCATTGAAAAAGATGCGGTTGTACCAAAGATACTCTGAAGATTGTTTTTTATTACTGCTGTTGCCGAATATATTTCGTTGCTGTCAAGGGTCAGCTCGATAGCCATCTGTAACTCATGCTCTTCAATCAGCAAATATAACAGCGCCGACCACGCTGTCCCTGGTTTATAACGGTTCAGTAAGGATTCAACGACATTGATCAGTGCCAGTGGCGGGATTGATTTACCGGCGGCAAGTCCCTCAATTTCTACCGTGCAAAATGCACCTGCCTCATGAATATCATTATGAAAATGAACGAGGTTGCCCAGCTGCTGCAACTCTTCTTCCAGCGGCACCATCCGCTCTGCACTCCGGTATAAACGGTAGCGTAACACATCGGAAAACCGGATCACGGAATCGGGCGCGGCAGCATCCCGGAGTGTGGCCAGCCGGGTAATCCCATCCAGCGATTGATTGATAAAATCAGGATCCATTCTTGTTTTAATCAACTGGCTTTCAGTAGCCAGCAGCTGCCGTTTGTTATCATCGATCTCACGGGTCGTGCGTACTCCTTCCAGCAATTCCATCAGGAAGAGCATCGAAGTAAAACCCGTAAAATACCCGATGAATGTCTTATAGGCCTCCAGCAAAAAAGCTGCGCTGGTCATCCCCGCCATCCTGGTTTTAATAGCCGGGAAGTAAGGTGCAGCAGCGGCCTGGATCATTATGTCCAGCAGTGGAAATACCAGCAGCATAACCAATAACAACAACCAGAACTTCCTGATCTTGTTGCGTTTAAAACAAGCCGGCACCAGGTAAAGACAATAAATGTAAAAGAATACCAGGAACGGCAAGGTACTTATAAGCGCACCGAGGGTTGTATTCCCGCTCGATACGACCAATACATTCTCATTCAGCTTAAAATTAAAGGTAGCCAGGAAGGCAACGAAGAACAAAACATGCAGCACCCATTTCCCTTTTTTGAAATAGACGCCGATGTTTTTGCGGAACAGTTCCCGTTCGATATAATCATGCACCATGGGATAATAGCTGTAAGTTCAGGTGAACATTAAATTCGTTTTCAGATTGGTTGATGCGCAGCTTATAACGATTGGGATATAACAATTCAAGCCTTCTTTTCACATTGCGGATACCGATACCGCTGCTCTTCTGCCCTTCCGGCGCCTTGCCTTCACCGATCAGGTCCGGCTTGCTATTCGACACTTCCATAGCTAGTACCTTGTCCATCACGTACAGGCGGATCCGTACAAATGACTGGCCAATGCCTGCTTTCACGCCATGCTTAAAGGCATTCTCAATAAAGTTGACCAACAGCAGCGGTGCAATTTCTTTCCCCGCCGTATCTCCTTTCACATCCAACTCAATGCTGGTATGGTCCTGTTTATTACGCAGCTTTTCAAGCGATACATAGTTTTCCAGGAAACGGATCTCGCCATCCAGCGGCACCATATCCTTT